AAGAGAGAGAGAGAGAGAGAGAGAGAGAGAGAGAGAGAGAGAGAGAGAGAGAGAGAGAGAGAGAGAGAGAGAGAGAGAGAGAGAAGTACAGCAAATCGAACCAACCACGTGATGCTTTACATATCGCAGTGAATGTAGTGGTCCATGGCTTACGATCAACACAACTCGTAGCTACCCTTCTTTCTCCTGCTTAGATAGTTGTCTCAACCATTGTCCAAGAATAAATAGAAACCCACTCCATCCTTCCTTCCACTCGCCTAACTTCCTCTACTTCGTCAGCCATGATGTGCGTTGTGCACTATCCTGTACGCGGAGAACGCCCATGTGCTGCATGGCTAAGTCTGAGTGACCATGATATAACTATGTATATGTTTTAGCCGTTCGTATGTCCATCATACCGAAGGAGTCACCATAACTGATGCACTCAACACTGAATGTCGATTCTGTTGTCCTGTGTATTCGAGTAATTGCAACAGCAAAACTTGGACTGCAAGGTGCATTCGGCACGTGCGACGGTCGTATTCGATACTTGCATTTTCGATCCTTATTCCAGCGATCTATTCTCGTGCCATAATCCTCCTGGTCTGATGTTCGGGTCCCTGCCCATGTGCCTGGTACCATGTTGCAGAGTTCTCTCCTAGTTGCACCAAGTAGGGTAACAGTTGCAGTACCTTTGAGAATGGTAAAAATCCGATGCTGGAGTATTGAACTTTTTTCCACACGGCCGATCAGCAGTTCGAGTCCGTGTAAGTATATAAGTAGTGTGATCAGGGCTCTGTTGTCCAGTTCTATTTCCATTGTGACCAGTTAGTGGTTCGAGTCCAGTCACCCCAGTGAATCGACCATATCTGTTGTAGGCGGTCCAGGCATCGAGACCCTAGCTGGTTGTTAGCAATATCAAACAATCCCCAGTCATTCGTCATGGTTCCAGCCTTCCAGGCTTTCCAGTACAACTTTCCGAACGTCTATGCTATGACAGTTCCGTAGGAATGCAGGCACAACTCGTTGGTAAATTTCATCTGGATAATCCAGTAATCGGAGTTCAGTTTGGAGGAGTTTTAAAACAGGAAGGGCATCATTATGTTCGTATGTGTTGGCAATAACTCTGTGTATCATACCCAGTATTGTGAGAATCATCATTCGTGACGAACCATGGCTCCTGAAGTGTCACACAGTTCTAAGCTTGCCCAAAGACCCCTCCTGGGCGCCTCTTCGTTTTTTTACTTATGCGTACACTTTAGGAGAGGTTTGCTAGCGTTAGCGTTTAATACAACGTTTCTGATGCCTTTTCTAGTTTGAGCGAGTCGTCATAGCATGATCGCATAATGTTCACTGCTTGGTGCTTGTTGTCTTGTGTTGTTATTATGATGAGTGTAACATCATCAACAAAACGCACTCCATGCACAATTTTCTGATCCATGCCCAGTGCAGAAAACCAATTACCCATCGAATGCACATACCATGTTTGCTATTGGTGGGCTCAAAACCTTCCCCATAGGAACCACTTTAACTTGACGTAGTAATTTCTTCTGTACGAAAAAATAAGCAAGTTTGATTTCAAACTAAAGAAGGTTCGGCAACTGTTCCAATTTGATTGTACGCCATCCCAAAATGCCTTTCGTTTTTCCGAAGTTCATTTTCTTTCCGTTCATTTGGAAACAAATGTGAGTCTTCCTACTTTGTCTGACGGTATTAATCAGCCATTGCAGCGCTTGTGTCACATGTTTATGATCAAGATTCGAAAACATGTCCTTTACGTCATATGTAGAAATCCATATGCTTGCCTTATCTTCTAGTAGTGATGAACATACTTGCGGCGCACTTCTGCAGTGCGTCGTGCGGTGCGCGTGCGCCATGCACAAATTAGTGATGCGCACAATTTTTATTTTTATTTTATATATATATATATACTAGCTAAGCGCCCGCGGTGGGGGCGGTGCGGGCCACGCCCGCAAAAATAAGAGTAACTGGCTACGAAGTCCAACTTTAATTCACGAATCAAAAAAATAACAAATAGAAGAAAAAAAAAATGTAAGAGAAAGGGCGAGGAGAGACAGAGATAGACAAAGAAAGAAAGAAAAAAAAAAAAAAATAGAGATAGATAGATAGATAGACAGAGAGAGAGAGAGAGAGAGAGATGGAGAGATATATAGAGAGAGAGAGAGAGAGAGAGAGAGAGAGAGGAGCAACGAAAGAGCAAAGAACAAAAAAAAATGAACACGAGTAAAAGAAGAAAAAAAGTTTAATATGAAGATTTTTTATTTCACTTAAGTAATCAAGTGGCCGCAGTATGATTAAGGCACAATTATTGCACAGTGGAATCAATATTGACTTAAAAAAACGGAATAATATTACGTCAAAATTATATATTTTTTCTCTCTCTCTCTCTCTCTATATATATCTGTTTGTGACGATATATATATATATATATATATTCCCCCCTCATTTATTTGTCTTTCCCTTCCCATCTCTCTTGTAAGGGCAATTACATAATTGAAACCAAAGACGACCATCTAAGAATTTGTCATTAAGGCAACGCCTGGACAACCGCCCAATCAACATCTTTGTCTTCCTATCTCTNAAAAAGCTAGAGATAGATAGATAGATAGACAGAGAAAAAAAAAAAAAAATAGAGATAGATAGATAGATAGACACAGAGAGAGAGAGAGAGAGAGATGGAGAGATATATTGAGAGAGAGAGAGAGAGAGAGAGAGAGAGAGGAGCAACGAAAGAGCAAAGAACAAAAAAAAATGAACACGAGTAAAAGAAGAAAAAAAGTTTAATATGAAGATTTTTTATTTCACTTAAGTAATCAAGTGGCCGCAGTATGATTAAGGCACAATTATTGCACAGTGGAATCAATATTGACTTAAAAAAACGGAATAATATTACGTCAAAATTATATATTTTTTCTCTCTCTCTCTCTCTCTATATATATCTGTTTGTGACGATATATATATATATATATATATTCCCCCCTCATTTATTTGTCTTTCCCTTCCCATCTCTCTTGTAAGGGCAATTACATAATTGAAACCAAAGACGACCATCTAAGAATTTGTCATTAAGGCAACGCCTGGACAACCGCCCAATCAACATCTTTGTCTTCCTATCTCTCTTATAAGACCAATCAACTTCCTTCACTGGAACAATAGTCTTGCAACACCTCACGAACAAAAACAAGTTGCAACACTTTGGGACGATACTCCTCGAAAGTTTCGAATCGAACCTGTCTTTATCAATTGTAATCGAGATGAATTGCAGCATCCACACATCTCCAAGTGTTCATACTCGTACTCAATTCCGCTGCTGCTTCCACAATATTTTGCACCCTGTGAGAACTATCAAGATAGGACAGGTGTGCAGGTGTCTTTTTCGGACCAATAGATTCAACAGAGTCGTAACATGGTAATGTTAAAATTAGAAGAACTTGGTTGTTCCAATGGTCCCGTATGGACATGTAGATGGTCTCTTGATGGCGTATGAGCGGGCACAAAACAACTGACAGAAGACGGAGGCTAGCGGCCGGCAAAGCAGAAACAACAACAGAAGTAGTGACAATTGGCGTTGACATATTGGAGGGTGAAGCATAATCCGCAAGACGTTGAAAATTTGGAGGAGATGCCGCTTGAAGGGGGAGTCTACGGACCGGAGCGAAATGAGGAGTGGACGAAGCAACCACGGGAGTAATCCTTTTGAGAAGTTGTTGTATCCGTGCATATTTTTGAAAGGCTTGGGGAATGGTCTCTTTTGTCCAGCAATGCGGCAAATCAAATGTCATCCTAGTAATCTCCTCATTAGATAGAGCGATCAACTCATCGTTCTAAAGTGATTGCAACATGGAAGAAGCCTCCAAATCCGAAACATTCAACGGGTCTGAAGGAAGAGGGAATCGTCGTTCCAACCACATATTAGTGAGTTTGTTTTTTTTCCACTCCAGGAAGTTTTCCCATATTCGCCCATCTTTCACGACTGTGGCACTTTTGACAAACATTTCAAAAAGCACCTCAGTCAAGACATTTTGGATGCCAACCTTTTCCGCATCGTCAAGAGATTAGTTTTCGCACCACGATTTTTTTTTCTCTTGAAAGTAAATTCAACATAGTCTTCTTTCGAATCGCCCGTAACGTATCATCCTCATCATCGGCAAATGTAAGGTTAAGAGGCCCACCCGACTCACCTCTACGCGAACCATCCCCATTGGCACGACAATCGTCACGACCCCCCTCCACAACCATGTTCTCAGCATCATCAAGGATATTCCCTTGCGAACAAGGACGTTCAACCTCACCAAGAACATGATGATCGTCCCGAGGATGTTCAATTCCAAGATTTACCGACCTCTCATCATTTCCACTTTTCTTCGACTTCTCAGAATGTCCGGCTCCAGGTTTTGACGTAACATTCATATCATATTGAGTGGTATTGTTGTTTCTTATTGCTTTCCTCTTAGCACGAGTGTCATACTTATGCAGCATTCGAGAGTCGCCTGTAAAGAAAGAATATGACAGAATTATTTGGAATGCCAAGGCTCGATGGGAAAAAAAAGGACTCATCCCAAAAGTTCATGATATACAATGTTCTTCGTTAAAAACTTCTTATTAGGCAACACAACACGGATGTTGTTGGGATGACCAACACTTGACAAAGCAACATACAGTTGGTCATGCGCAAAAACCGGTTTGCGTAGCCAAACCCTGGCACGCGATACGGTTTGCCCTTGCGACTTGTTAATCGTTACAGCAAAAGCAAGATAGACTGGAAATTGCCTCCTAAACCATTTGAACATTGTTGTCTCACCATCGCTTGTCAGATCAATCTTGGGAATCAATGTTGTTTTACTCGTGTGCATTATTGTCACTTCCAATAAATCATCATTAACGATCTTCTTCAGAATCGGCCTTGTACCGTTGCAAAGTCCTTGCTTCGGTGACAAATTTCGCAAAAGCATCATATGCGCACCAATTTTTAAGCGCAGCTTGTGAGGTGGAAGGCCAGATTCGTCAGGAGAGTTTAAGAACTTTCGCTCAATACCAAGCCCGATATCATCCGAATCAGGATAATCAACGCTGAAAAGGTCACGCACCTCCCCAGGGAAGTCGTAAAGAACACGGTTGTTAACAGAACCGATATCGTCATTAGTAGGGCATAAAATTAATCGAGGCAAGAAATATTCGGCATCCCGCACATGGTTCGACACATCATCAAACGTCCATGAAATCAACTCATCAATTGGTTTATCTATACAAATCTCATGTGGTAATCTTACCGCAGCAGGTTCATTAGGAACAACACGAGGATGATCACCATTCCCAATACGCATCAAAAAGTGGGCATACATTCGTGCCATTTCATCATTCCCTAAGCTTAAGATTCGCATATTTTCGGTTGGTTGATGAACCTCAAAAAGTTTCCACAAAGGAGACATTTTCATGGACGCATCAATTCGATCCGCTCGCGATCCGTGTTTCACAACAGGCAAAACATTTTTGAAATCCTCAACTAGAAGTAGAGGTCCCGAAGTGTGATGTCAAGAGCTTCCAAGTGAAACTTGTTACTCAGCCTCGTCCCGAATAATCAAGTCGGCATCGCGGATAAGCTCCGCAAGATCACTTTGTTTCGCAATCAAGAAGGGACGCGTGTTATCAGGTTTGAAAGGTGCACGAAATCGTGAGTGAAACGTTCGACCCCCCATCAAAAGAGTCGCTGCTATGCCACTGGACACGACGGCCAGCACAATGGCAGAACTCGACCTGATGCCCGCCAAAATCGTTTCAATGCAAAAAGTCTTCCCTGTTCCAGCCTGTGCATCGACAAAAGCACACAACGGTTTTTTCTCTTGCACAGCCCGAACGACTCTTTCCACCAACACTCGTTGACGTGGACGAAGATGTCGAAATTTTGACTAATATTTGTGTTGCATTTGAATCGGATCATACGACAACTCGTCGTTTAGAATCGAAAATACAGTTCTGTTCTCGTAATGTCTGATTATGTTCTCAACAATCGTTTCTCCGTCGGGTGTTGGATAATAAAGGCAGAACTAACGGATGTTTTTTTCAGACTCTTGCAAAATACGGTCAAGATGGAACAACACTAAGGATTGCAAAATGTTCGGCGGAACAATTTCATTGCCTGTGCGATACTGAAAATCGTCACACAACTTATCCCAATGTCGTTCGAAGAAACGGACCGGATCATTCACCGAACCAAACGCAAGAACCATAGCAAATATTTTACGAAGTTCTTCAGGCATGTAATGCGCAGCGGCTGTATCTATGCATTCATCGTATGCATCGTCTATTTGCAAAAGGCCTAATCGAAGACACACAGATCGGAACGAATCGTATTCGACTCCGTCCACCGTACGAATTTCGGCAAAAGAGCGCACCCCACAAGAATGTTCATGGTTTAGCAACACGCGCAGATAGAATCGTTCCCCTTCCGTGATCCTCACGTGATGTAACTAAGATATCTTTTCAAAGGGACCACCGTGAATGTCACACTTTCTTCGGTTCCACTTCTTATGTTTGTTATCCCACACATGAGTTTCAACGATTTCTGCGTAAAGAGAAAGCTCCTCTTTAGGAACACGTTCGTTTAAAGAGTTGTGTTCCATCCATGCCGTCAATTTCGTTTTCGGGGGCCCATTTGAAATGACGTCATGCTAAGTTACAGGTTCGAATTGCACTTTTTGCATGTTTTCGAGATGCACGGGGAATCTTTCTACTGTGGGCCATTGTTCTGCAACGTCGAACTCAAATAAACGTCAGCATGCTTCGCATGCACCTACAACATGCATTATTATCTTGCTTGCAAACCATAGCACGATCACACCCTTTGTACACGTACTTATACACGTACTTGCACGCCTTGATGTTAGCACAATATTCAACATTCAAGTGACAATTAAACCTCATTAGCAAGTACGGGTTATACGGCACCACACGCCAATTGTCATAAACGACACCATTTTGAACAATCGTAAAACCACCGTCACTTAGTTTCCTTCTCCTACACGAAGGGTACGTTTGTTCGTCTTTAAATGTTGTTGTTGAAATGAAATCTTTCGAAAATCCTTTTGTGCATTCTCCGTCCTCCGTATACGAAGCGTCGAGTTTCTCCGCACCGCAAATCCCGTGCAACATGAACTTGGTCACCCTTTCTCTCAATTCCCCTTCCGGAGGAATCTCAACACACACCACATTGTCAACAACATCCGCATCCCGAATTTTATCATCTGGATGCAGGATAACCAATATATGTGCATGTGGTAAACCCCTTTTTTGAAACTCCAGCACTTACAACATTTCACTCACCCTACCAAAGATCCGTTTGTTCTTCATCTTATCAATCAGTTGTGCAAGATAACGTTTGAACACTCTCGCAAGAAGACACGGTCTGTCGTTAGGACATTGACCTGGCAACAGTGCTTGTTTGATCTCCGACCCGTTAGTGTTGCTTTCACTCATATATCGACGATGACATTGACCTCACAATTGCCATGCTGTCGTGATATTTTTCACTCATATATCAGGCCCCCCCAGTGAACGTTGACGGTAAAACCACTTTTGTCCCAACACCCTCACCACGTTGATTTTGTTGTACAGCGTCTCGTCAATCTTGATAATACTCCGAGCGTAATTCTTTTTGGTGAAATCTCACCCATTTTAAGCGGAGGGATTCAACTTTAGCGTACGCCATGCAACAAAACTCGTGGAAGAGACGTGCGGCATAAAGGAGGCAAGGTCTTTCACCATCGCGCTCGTGAAGGTGAAATGCATAGTACTCCTTGGCACTAAGTCCTGACGGCCATTCAGCTTCTGAGGCACATCGGACAGACCAACTATCAATTCTCTCCGGGAAAAGTAAAACAAACCTTAAGTAGTCGTGCGCTCGAGAATATTATGGAACCACAACGGTTTGCCGCTCACCCGGAAGAGGAGCACGCAAACGAATCTCGAGCTCACGAGGAAGGAGTTCATCGGCCATCAGAACACACACCTCATATAAACCCATAGGACAGTTATAACGCCTTGCATGTTCCTCATCAGGCATGACATCCGGATTTATCATCAACTTCCTCCCGTTCAACGCTTCCGACGGAAGTCAGCAACCGTCATAAAGTCCTTCACATAATTGTTACATTGTTGTAGCAATTCGTGAAACCTTCTCAATATGTATTTCGCTCGATCAAGTTCGACATCGGATGTACGTGTAGGTAAGTTAAGGAAATCTACCCTTTGGTCAATCGCACCGTCCAAACGTTGAGGATCGTGCAAGTATAGTTGTGGAAACTGAGGACGTTTCCCTTCCCTCACAGCCAATGCACCGACACGATGAAAGATTGGACCTTGAGCCCTAAGTTGGCCCTGGAATCCTCGAACACCATCGCTCGGCTGCTTCAATCGCGAGGATGCGAAGGATAAACTATTATTAATTATCCTCGCATTGTTTCGAAGGAATCGATCATCGGAAGTTTGAGATGTCCAAAGGGAAAGAATCTCATGCTCCGGGGAGCCTTCGCAAGGTCATTCCCACAAAGGACAACGTTTTGTACCTTTTCGGCAACACATCTTTGTCCATTTTCTTTCATGACGCCACAATTTAGCACCACAATGCTTACACGGATCTCGACCTCCAATGCTGAACGGTTCAACAGTGCTAGCATTTCCAAAAATCGGTACAGTGTTCTCAACCACCTCATACGTTGTTGCCAAAGGTGCCGATGGCAGTGCATTCAGATCAAAAGCCGAAACATCACGCGAATCATTCATTTCTTCCTCATGCCTATTTAACTCACTGTCTTCACGATTGTTCATTGAATTTTGATTTTTTACGGATGGATTCTGCGATTGTCTCGCTCGCGAGGACAGACTCTGCGAGTGCCTCGCCCGAGAAGATTGACTCTGCGATTGTCTCGCATGAGAAGATGCACTCCTCGATTGCGCAGAGACGCTCGCTCTAATATCTCGAAGGATATTCACAGTGAACAAACTTCGCCTCACAGCCCGCACAAAATCTTTATGAGCACGCTCATCTTCTTTCTTCCTATGATTCTTAACCGCAACTCTCAATGCACGCATGCGTTTAACATGAAAGTTGATCGTCTTCCCTGGCTTTTCCTTCGTTTTGAAATCTTACGCGACGTCGAACATGATTAATTAACATTGATTCTATTGACTTGTTCCGTTCCTCCACCAGCCTCTGCAGTACTTTTAACAATTATTGCACTTCCATCATAGCCCGATGACACACGGTGAGGCATCAACCACAACGATCCAAGTTTCAAACGACGCACGACTTTATTGGCACGCAGTCGTCAAATCAACAACATACGGTACCGTCTGTTGCGCCTTGAACAAATCGATTTCCATAATAATAATCTTCTTCGTCGATTATGAGATCCAATCAATTTTCTAAACAATGTGTTCGGCGAATTCGGTTGGGCCGTAGCAGCAAAAGATGAATGTGCATGAACATTTGTCAAAGTGGGAGAAAGGTTGCTCTCCACACATTTTTGTCGAACATTGGCAGTCAATGTCGACGATGAACAATTGTGCACATGTGCCGAGTGCAAGGAAAAATCATCGACTAAAACCGATCTTTCAACCATCGAAACCAAATCATCATTTATTGCAACATCCGTAGGAATTTCAAGTGGACGTTCACTTTGCAAGGTCATAGAAATATTTTCATGACAACTAATACGATCCGTATGAACATTGATATTTCCTTGACTCATTCTTTTGAAAAACATAGGGCTTGTGAAATCATTCATCGATGGAATCGCTTGTCGAAAAGGTAGAGACCTATCACTATATTGTTCTTTGGGAGAATAATCAGGACCATCATCTTGTGTTACCATTGGTTGTTTATCTCTCCTCGGAGCAATATTCTCACCTGCAGCACTTACCGCCTGTTATAAAGACCTTCGGGTTCGACGACTTTGGGAAAGTGGTCGTCCTCGTTTGCGGTGTTCATGTTGTGATGACATCAGTGTATCACTTGCAGAGCGACCGGGAGTAATATCCGAACCTATATGCAATCCCAATCCATGGTTGAATGAGGAAGAAAGGCGGTCTAACGAAGATAAACCGACTTGACCTGGAACAACAGAAGGACACCGAGTACACTCTGATACTATCGGCAAAGACACCAAAGCATCCTTAACAGCCCTTTCACAACGACGAAGGCGTTTGCAACGCTTCCACGGAATATGCAAGGACCTATCCGCAGGTGAAGAGAATGTTGGAACTGTGGATAGATTACTATTGGTTGAATCGTCATGTTGACCTTGGTCCTCTACTATATTAATGGGCAGATACGTACGTATTTGTACATGGCACGTCATGGCGGATAGGAGGAATAAGATGCATATAGACAATCGGAACGAAAAAAACACACGTCAAAACGTCCGTATATCGATGTAATTATATGAAGAACAGTAATATAGAGTGAAATAGAAAAGAAAAGAAAACAGGAAAAACAAAGAAGACGTAGTGCAACACATAGAACGCAGCCGAAATGAAAAGCACAAAAGATCAAAGAAAATAAGGAGTCAATTCGTTTTGTTTTTTTTGTTTAGCGCGTCTATCCAGGTTAATCAATGTTAATTCAGATCATTTTTTTTTTTTCCATGCAAATATAGATGTATAGGTTCACTTTCATGTTTGTGCAAACGTTTAATCAAGACTGAAACTTCTTTGGACTCTTATTGAGGTTAATTAAGACGCCTCCTATGCCTCATTCGGTTCTTATGTTCGTTTTGTGATCCTATACGCCCGTTAGTCTTTTCAGGGCCCCATACGATAGAGTCATACATACCTTGTTTGTCCACGTTTGCCGTTTATAATTCTCTGGCAGGGCCCACTTTTCTGTTCGGATAAATTTGTCATTAGGATCAGAACTTGTTTTGACTCCAATAATCAAGGCGGCTCCTACTTGTGGCCAGCCTTAGGTATCCTAAGTCAGTCCTCCGTCCACAAAAGATTTGAAGAAGGTAAAATGTCTTCGTTGACCTTTCCGAGGCCCGATCGCTAGGAAGTAGTCCGTAGTACCCATTCTCCTCGCCTGAGCACGAGGCCCAGATCTCAGAAGTAGGCGTTGGCTCCACCACAACAACATTGCACCACCCCCATAAATGGGTCTATGCGGCGTGCACCACCTCTCCCCAGCCAACCTCGAAGGTCGTGGATCCAGGAAGAGTCATTCCTAGCGATCGATGGCCTCACCTTTCTTCTTCTCTTTTGCTTGGGCGACTTTGATGAGATAGGAGCAAAGGGGGTAGAGAACATGACTTTTTGGAACGGGCCTAGGCAAGAGGAGGTCATTTGGGATAACACGGGTGCCTTGGGAAAAAGGATACGTTTATTGCCAACTTTATTTTTTTTTATCGGATTGGTTCCTTCTCAAATATCCATTTGAAACACATAGTGTGACCCCCCCTCCCAATAACACTTAATTTGCTTCACATAACGTAGACCAATCATCCGTAACTTGATTGTTCTTGTGCATGTTTTGCTTTCCTTCGATACCATTTCTGGAAGACTGCCTAAGTTTATTATTGTTTTTTAATTTATTATCAAGACTCTTGCTTTCTAATTATTCATAAAAAATACATTATAACATCACATAACATTTAAGCCACAATTTTTTTTTTCCATACTCATCTCAACCGGTTTTGAACATTATCTCATGTCCATATTTTGACGGATACTCACTTGGTTATTTCTTAAGAATAAGCAGAACAGTATAAGAATGAACACACAAAACCATACAATATTGAAAAACGAAATTTAACGAATGTTAGTAACTAAGGATTAATATCATCTCCATAACCATGAACACGTAGAACACGAGATCACATACCAACAAACGACTAAGGCAACTTTTATTTGTATATATCGACAATATTTTCTTCCAATTCTCTTAATAGTTCTCAAAAAAAAAAATGCCAAAAAAAAAAAAAA